CTAACAACAGCCAAAGGTGTAAGCAAATCAACATCAGACTCACATCCGTTCCACAAAACCATGCCCAAATCCCCATGAACAGAGGAACACGATCCATCCTCCCCAATCTCAACAGATGACAAAGATGGAGAGCAGCTAGAAAGTGGGGTCCCAAACACCTCATCAGCCAAAAGATCATTCTGCTCAAAAAGAGAACCCTTTGACACAAGATGAGCCCTCAAATCGTTTAATAGCACAGCAGCTGAAACATCGGCAATTCTTATCTTCACATCCCGGCCCACACACACAGTAATTCCGTTACTGCTAACATCACATAACCGAGAGGGACCCATTACAACACTGCCGTCTTCACCAGATCCTTTCTCAAAAACTGGCACCGGCTCCCTTTCAAAAATCGGAGACAAGCACTTTGAAACAGAAGACACCACTCTTATTTTCGGTACCAAGTTTCGTCGAGAAACCCCACAAAGGCGAAAAGAGGAAGAAGAAGGTAGAGTAGGAGAAGGATCAGGCGATACAAAAGACTTACCCGATCCAGTGCCAATCTGCGAAACCGGAATCTACTTCTGTTTTTCCTTTCTAGACCATCTTCTACGAAGAGGGGGGAGAAGCACTTTCTTCTTCATACGATGTCCCTGCAGATGCCCCTTAGGACGACGATGACTTCTCGAAGCTTCTGGGAACTCTTTGAACAGACGGACAGCGTCTTCCACAACATCACTTAAAGGCTCATATCGGTTACCCAATTCTGGCCCAGAATAAACATTAGAAGAACCCGGTCCTCCCTTTAAATCACAGCCCAAGTTATCCGATCCTTGGCCCAGACATACAACATTTAAAGAGTGGGCCGCTCCACTTCCATCCGGACCACAAGAAGACAATCCAGTTGGCCCACCAAAAGAAGATTTGTTCGATCTAGAAACCTTGACCACCGGCCCATTATTAGGCCCAACCACCGATTTAAGCCCAAAATCAGCCTTACCATTGTTCAGAGCCCACGATTTTGACAAAACAGTGGATGCAGCTGTCATCCACTTTGAACGGCCAAGTCCTCTGTGCCAACCATGTGTATGGCCATCCACGTTCCTTTTCCCACGCGCTTGATTGAACATTCTTACCAGTGAAGATTATACGTTATTCATTTTGTGGAAATTAAGCGTCTGTATTGCCATCTTATTTTTAATTAGTTTTTACATATTCCCCACAAAAATATGTAAGGCCACCTTCATTTGGCCGTTTGCATTTTTAATACCCCTAAGGCTGGTCATCCTCAAACATTTAGAAAGATCGATCAATTTGGTACTTACTGCTTCCATGTCACTAGGGCTTCAATCGAGATTTGCTGGCATTTTCACAAAAGGGGGGCGGGGGGGTGTTGCATTTGCATGGAAGGAGGCAAATACTCAACTCAATAAAACCTCTTTCCCAACTATTTAGGTCGGCTACATGAATCCTGTTTTTCCATTCCACCCTTTCTAAGGCCATAGTTTCAGTCAAATCACATGTTACCAATTCTACCCACATTAACTTTAGACTTTCCCTTCCCTTAGCATTACCCTTCGCATGGACCATGTCACTCCTCATAACTGGTGTACTTAGTTGTCTTCTTTGTACATGTCATCCCTAATCTCCTATTGTCGATAGGGGTACTAGAAGAATGCATCAAATTGACTGGAATTCTCTTTCTCCACCTTTTGACGGACTGGATGGTTATGCAGGGATGGAGAGAAGCCTTTGACTGGCTAAAAGAACTATTGGAACACATGGAGCCTTTTGTTGAGCGAATCAATACAAGTTCTAGTAAGAGGAGGGGTCGCTACTACTTCTATGTAACGCCTCTCAGCATCCTTCTCCTCCCTTAGGATGGATAAGAGAATTATTGGTGCCTGCTTGAGACGGGTTATGAGCAGAGGAGAGGTTGCTTAGTCCTCGTTTTGCCAGGGATGCTTGGAGCTGTATGTAGGATTGGATTGATGTTTATTGAGCGGAATGACTTCACTATACTGTCCTATTCCCATTCCTTCACTTGCGAGCTCAGCAAGCTAAGTTTTACACAGCCCCGAGAAAAGACTCATTCCTCTCATGGCCAAAGGCTCTGCAACATGTTGGAGAGCTTTTAAAGCCCGCCTTATAAAACTGTTTCTCCTAGAATTCCAAAGAAAGCCGGACAAGAATCTCATTTTTTGGTAGGTGCTACTTCAACCATCTCATGGATATGTTCATTTCTAATTTATTTGTCCTTGTCTTACGGTACATCCATCTTAGCGTTCGCATTACGGCACACTCATTTTATGCAGATGTTTCTTAGTATCCAACATTCCTTACCATAAAGAATAGCTGGTCAATGGTTGTTTTATAGAACTTTCCTTCAAATCATAGCGGGGCTCCCCTGAAATAAGCATTGTTCTTGCAAGATAACTGTAAGACAACATTTATCTTTGATCATCACTAAGTACAAATAGAGCAGATCAAAGCGAGCAAAGCAAAAGTCCAAGTCATACCCGTCCAGCCTGCAAGTAAACAGAGGGATGATAACCCAAATTCCTCCAGGCCCCACGTCCTTGGTGTCCACAAATGCTCTGTCAACATCAAGGAAGAGTGGTCTTGTCATTGGCTGGGTTTTTGGCTGTGGCAGCCGAAGCGGATTCATCCTCACCCTCATCAGTAGAACCGTCATCCATAGGGACATCAACTTTCTCATTTGGCTCCTGATGAGCCACGGTGCTGCCTCTGCCTCCGCGAAGGGGGAACACCTCCTTGGGAGGACTCACCCTGGATAACTATGGAAGCAGGAACCCTCCACCTCCCGGAAGTACCTGCCACTCTCCTCGAAGCCCGCCCACGCTCTGGCCCGCGTGAGGAGTCTTTGTCAATACTCTCACCGTCAACCATGGTAGAACCTGCAATGAAACCATTGAATAAGTTTGCGGCACCAAGACAACACAATCCCGTTATAATGGTAAAAATGAAAATTTTACCTACAGTCGGTTGCAATGATAAAATCGTAGTTTTACCTACACTGACAACTCTACCTATTCCAAGTTTGAGAGAAAGCATTGCTTTTGTCATCCCTAGTGGAGAGCTTCATTTCGATCAAGAGCAAACTGGGCGTGAAGATTTTTGAATGGAAAACAAACCCCGAAGAAGATTGACGAAGGCAATGGCGAGTTTAAGCAATCAAAATCAGGGAGCCCAACAATCTTTACTTCCTATTTTTGATGGGGAAAACTATGATTTCTGGTATGTGAAGATGAAAACTATTTTTCTTGCCTATGATATTTGAGAGTATGTTGAAGACGGGTATGATGAACCGGAGGATACAACTACTTTGATGAATGCTCACAATACTAGATGCACTCCTCCATTCAACCCAACCTGCCTTTGATTGTTCGATTAACATCATCTCCAATTTCTCCTTCATTATGAATAATTGAGCCTAAATAAGGGAATGCTCACTCTTTTTGTACTTCATGACCTTCAATCTTCACTATATCCTGTTTGAATTTCTAGATTGACTATAATTACACTATATATTCAGTTTTATTCCTACCTATCTTAAACTCTTTCAATTATAGAGTTCTTTTTCTCTCCAAATCCCCAATTAAAACAATATCATCAAGAAATAACTTATACCGTGGATTCTCATCTTGAATGTGTCTTGTCAGTTCATTCATAACTAAGGCGAAAAGATATGGGCTTAATGCTGGCCCTTGATGTAAGCCTACAATAATTGGAAACTCACTTATTTTCTTCAAAGTCATCCCAACTAGTCACACTTTATTGCACAATTATATCCCTTTGTTACTCTCTCTCTCTTTCTTTGTTTTTATTTATTTTTATTTTTATTTCCTTCTAACTCTCCATATTAGATCTCCAGGTACCACATCATAGGCTCTCTCAAAATGAAAAAAAATTACATAAAGATCTTTCCTCTTCTCTCTGTATCTTTCTGTTAGTTCCTAAGTAAATAGCCTGTACCATTAACCTCCCCAGCATGAATCCAAATTGATTTTCCAGTACCTCAGTTTCTCATCTTAGTCTCCCAAAGTTTCACTGTTTGAGTTATTAATATAATACCACAATAATTAGAGCATCTATGTATATCCCTTTTATTTTTATATATTGGTATTAGAGTACTTTTGCATGTCACTCGTCAGGCTTTCTCGTAGTTGTTATTATCATCTAAATACTTATGCCTAATGAATGAGAATTATTTGTGTTTATTTTCATAAAGGGAGTTGTGTTTGGGAAAGTTCCCTTTCCCGGTGGTTAGTATCGAACTGGGACAAATGGCCTAAAGCATTTAGAATTCAGTTTTGTAGCAGGCATTATTAGTTTATGTTCGATGGATCATTGATCTTATCTCGGACATTTTTGAATCTGAAGTTCATCATTTTCTAGTAAATTTAACTGTGTTTGGTCATTATTGTAGCTTCTGTGGAGACAGAAGATTAACTGAAATAAGTTGATTCTCATTGATGAAAGTAAGCTTGAGATTATTTGCATTGACAAAGTGACTTTGACATGGCTGTTTTTTTTTTTTTTTTTTAATAAAAAAATTATGAAATTTTTAATTGATTCTGAAGTGTGTTCTTCATGTACTGCGGTTCAGAGAAATAGTTGCATCGTTTTTTGCAGGGATAAGGATGGGGAACTATTAGAACTACTATAAGCCCTTTGACTTTTTGAAATTAACCTTACTGGAGCACTTAAAATATAGTCCAGTGTTTATGTTCTAGCAAGTTATCTGGTGTCTCATAAATGGCATTTCTGTACCCATTGGAACTTCTAAGAGAGGTAGTAATGGATAGAAAGATATAGTTCTTCCTGAATTTCTCTTTTTGATCTTCAAACGCAGCATCCACATTATTATAACTTATTGATATATCATTATTTTATTACAGATTTGTTGCTTGTCGGTAGTGTACCTAAATAGTTGGTTTCTGTCAGAAAAGTGCGTCTAACTGCTATTTTCTTCCTTGATTTATGCTTCTGTGCAGCTTCAGAAACATATGAGTGCAGAAGGACATCCATATCATAAATTCAGTACAGGTGTGCATTTTGAAGTGTTCATTTTTTGAAAAAGCAGCCTATTTCCTATTGTACATGCATGATGATTTTGATTAGTCTTAATCATGAGTAATGTTATGTCTACTTATTTTGAAAGCATTATGGTGTTCTTTTTCACAGAATTATGCTAGATTGGTTTGGAATGCCAAACTGTCTGGGTTATTTGATGTTTGCTTGTTTGGTTTGTTTCCTTTAATTACTTGAATGGTGAGACAATGGATATAATTGTATCCCATGGAATTGTCTGTCATAATCCTCCAGCTGCTTTTATGGAACTCCACACAAAAAGCAGCCAACCTAGGATCCTTGGGCCCACCACTGTTTGCAAAAGCTGTAATACTTTCTTCTTTCTTGAAAGGAGAAAAGCTCTCTAATCCTTCATTAGCAATAAAGCAGTCACAATTGATCTTTATTCTACTGGGCAATGGTAATGAAATAAACATTTATGGTATTATGGCACAGCTTGTTTAGATATCCTTTACCGTAATTGTCTTGAAAAAATATCATTTTGTTTTGCTTGTTATATTCTGTTTAGAAAAAGATAAGCTTTGAAGCTTGTCTTTGGTGCTGACCACGAATGATGAAAGGCTTTTCTAATGAAAGATCCTTAGATATGGTATTTATCATTTATATGACATGTACTAATTTAGACAGAGTGCTGTAGAACAGAATATTTGTTGTTTATATTATTGTGTTGAATCTGTCATATTTATAGGTAACTGGGATACTTTGGAGGTACGGCCAAAAGCAAGAGGAGTGGATACTAGACTTGAGCTTCTCAAATTCTATGAAGAGAATTATTCTGCCAACCTTATGCGTCTGGTCATATATGCCAAAGGTAAGCAAATAATTTTGCAAGTGTCAGTTTGGGATCTATGATGCTGACTCCTTTGAATTATCAGCTATCATGATTATTTATTTATTTATTTATATATTTTTTTATGGATATACTCAGAGAGTCTAGATAAAACTCAAACCTTGGTGGAGAACAAATTCCAAGAAATCCGAAATACTGATCGAAGTTCTAGCCGTTTTCCTGGTCAGCCTTGCACATCAGAGCATCTTCAGGTACTCATAGGACTGGTGTGTATTTGTCTTTTTTAAGACCATAGTCATTAAGTCAAGAGCTGAACAAAAAGCTTTTTCTTTAATTTCACGGAATAATTTCTAATATTTTTATGTCTTCTCTAAATTGAAATCAGAATATCATCATCATCATTAGTTCAGTATTTCAGTCTTGTGCTGGCATGAACTTGGCTCGGAGTTCATTGAACACGTGGATTGAGCTTGGGCTAGTTATCTTAAGAAAGATTTCAGACTGTTCCGAGCATGGTCAGAGGATCTTGCCCTTTTGCTATGCTTGGAAAATTTTAGCTTGGCTCAAGCTGGGCCAATTGACAGCTCTAAAATTTGACCAATTTAAGCTTGCCATATAAATTATCAGTGTGAAAATTAAGGAATTTCATCCAGAGTTACTGGCATTTAATTTGCAAGGAAGTGGATGTCAGTGTTTAAGATTGTGCTCTGATTGATTTAAAATATCTATAGCAGTTCTTATATGAACAAACACTGAAAGCGGTTTTAGAAACTCTAAGCGAAGTGTTGGTTGAAAACAGTAAGCTGTTTGAAACAATGAGGTATTTGGGTTTTAAGATTGTAATAAGAAATTCTATATATGTCACTGGAAAAGAGAGAAAAAAGATATTGTGCACATAAATTCGACCGAAAATGGATCTCAATTCTCAAGGAGTGAGAAATGTAGATGTGACATCCTCACATTATGGGTGCCCTTATGGTACTGGAGGCTTATATGGAATGCGTTAAGGTGCCTTGAGCTTTGCTCAGGCAAGGCTCAAGGAAAAGTTTTCAGAGCTCTTTTAATAACTATGGTTGGCAAAAGCAGTTGCAGGTATCAAATTCTGGAATTTCTGTGGCTATGAGGAGATAATTTGTAGAAATGTTTTGAATCCTATGAGATAATTATCTTATAGTGCTTATATGTTATGATGTTATTCAGATTCTTGTCAAAGCTGTCCCAATAAAACAAGGTCACAAGTTGAGAATTATATGGCCAACAACTCCAGACATTCACCATTACAAGGAGGGTGCAAGCAGGTATCTTGGCCACTTAATTGGCCATGAAGGAGAAGGATCTGTGTTTTATGTATTGAAAACTTTGGGTGGGTTCTCTAATTCCCTTACATTATTCAGAGTATCATTTGCCTTTTGTTTAAACTTATTGGTATGGTGTTAGTATAGTGTTTAGCATTTTTGCTACAGCAAATTCTCAGCCCGATCTTTGTTTTATAGTTTAGTATTACATCGTTCAAAGATCTTGAGTTAAGAAGCACTAATTTTCTTTTCTATTACCTAGGAATTTGGTGATTATGTGGGAATTCTGCAGGTTTCTTTGATTGGAGATCTCTTATCGAGGTCTAATTCCAATTGATAATTTGAATTTTCACAGTGGTCAAGTGTTGCCTTTTGACATATGCTTAACATCTTGATCAAATGTTAATCATATATGTATATGCACACACACACACACACACACACACACATATATATTCTCTCCAAAGGATTTCTTCTCTTAAGAAACTCTTATGTTTGTTTAACCTTTGCCTTCCAAATTTCACTTGTTATTTTTCCTTTTATACCTCTTTGGGCTTATCCACCATGCACTTTCTCTCTGCTAGAGAGTTTGTCTTCTCAAAAGGTTAAGAGTTGACTTGTTAAGAATTTTTTATTCGAGACCCAAATGGCCTCACAGTAAACTTATTATGACTTGATTAATTCCGAATAATTAGTGGAATCAGAAAAACTCATAACCAAAGGCTACTAATATGGGACACCAGGTGCATATAGAAAGAGAAGAAGGCCATTTCCAATGTGGTGCATATAAGAGGGGATGAAGAATATTTTTTATGGTAGCTACTGAAACTTCATGATGCATCCCCCATACTAGATACTAAAGATAACTATTTTTTTCTTTGATTTGGTAGAGATGGGGGTTGGGGGAATGGTCATTTGTGTTAACCAAAAACTAAATAAAAAGTTAAGGATGCATGTGGAGTGATAAATTGCAAGGTATGTTCAATGGGGCCCTTAGTTGTTGGTGTGCACAAGGCTTCTGGTGTAGGTTTTGAACTTTGGCCAATGGTTATACTCGAATGTAAAATCTATATGCAGAAATTTTCAAGTCTATATCAGCAAAACATGGATTAGTGAAACATGTATACAAAATTTTACGAGTCAGAAATTTTGAACTTTTTGCCAATGTTTAAACACAAAGGAATCTAAATAGGAATATGTATGCAGAATTTTATGAGTGTATATTAGTGAAACATGGATTTTATTTACACAATGATTTGAGTTTTTGTACTTGGTAATTTTAGATAGAGCAAAATGGAAAAATAAAATCCATGTAGCTGACTACAAGCAGTTGGGAAAAGACTTTGTTGAGTTGAATTGAGTATTTTTAAATGCGTGGTTAGGCTGCGAAATTGTCCAGGTTCAGCCAAGCTTACCAATGTGGCTCAGCTCAATATAATTCCTAGCCAGTTCATTCATTTAGGCACAGGATCTGGCCAAAAAGGTGTGGCTTGTAGCAAGCCCAAGGAGGGAAAAGGAAACACATTTAGGAAATCTTATATTTTATTATTATTCTCCTTCACATCTTTTTTAACCGATTATAGAAATATGTCATATAATGTTATGGTGTCAACCATGTCATACTGTAAATTTTAAATTTTCATTTCAAATGTCTTGTGATTTATACGAGTATTACCGTAAGCACCAAGGAAAAACTCTCAGAGATTGAGAAAGTCATGACTTAATTTCAAGCATAAATACACTTGTCAATTTCAAGCATCAATTTATTAATACACTCCTGTAAATCTTTGATTTATCTCCTATCACCCCAACCCCAACAGGGTAGTACAATATTCTCGTCCTGGTTGGGACACAAGACTTTCGGTGTAAATACTGTTGTTGTTTTCAGTTATTGTTTTCCTGGACTAGATGGAATTCTATGTTATAGTTCTGTCCAATTTTTTCAATAATATTTTGATTTCTTATCAAAATAAAGAAACGAACACCAATGGGTGTTGGCCCGGATGGTATGATCTCTCCTCCACAAAGGGGAGGTTGAGTGTTCGAGCCCTACTAGGGGGGCAATATTGTGGGTGTGTGAACTTTCGAAATAAATAAATGAACAAGTTAGAAGCACCTTCTACTGAGGAATGGATAGTGGGAAAGTCATCTGGAAGGTTTTTGTCATGTGCAATCAAGACTATGAAGTGGACTAGTCTGAAGTGATTTAATTCAAGTTGAAGGCATTGCAAGTATTCAAGGAATGGGATTGTTGGTTGAGGTAATGAGAAAAGATACAGGGGATTTTGTGGAGGATTTGCTCATGTAAAGTTTGAATGGCAAAAAGGACTGAAGCTAGGTCCAAGTAGTAGGGAAATAGGGTTTCATAAGTATGGACTGTGAAGGCATAAGAAGATATCTGATACATTCTGACTGGATGTGTTATTGCTTTTATAAGTCATAGTTTATTATTATTTTTCCCGACTTCATTCTTTGAGGCATAAGAAGATATCTGATACATTCTGACTGGATATGTTATGGCTTTTATAAGTCATATATATATATATATATATATATTTCTGTCTTCATTCTTTGTGATGATATATGTTTATAATTTTATTTATTTTTTCATTTAATCATCTTTTTTTTTTTTTTTTTTTCCTTTCTTTTTGGTGGTTCAAATAATGCTTCTCATTCCAAATTCATTCTTATTTTGTTTTCTCTAAAGGTTTTTGATTGGCTACTTATATAAAATTTTACAGGTTGGGCAACAAGTTTATCTGCTGGTGAATCGGATTGGAATTTTGATTACTCTTTCTTTAAAGTAGTTATTGATCTGACTGATTCTGGGCACGGTTAGCGTTTTGACTTTTTTTTTGTTGATCATATGAACACTTGCACTCTTTTTAACAACTCTCACAACTTAAGCTGGAGACTAGTTGGTTGTTAACCTGATAGCAGATCAATAGAGATCTTGGGCTTAAATCTAATAGCCTCCTTTGTAATCATAATCCATTCACGTGCTTGGCTTACTCATGCTGGGGAATCAGGTCACAGTGAGGAGGCATTTTGATGATAAAAATCATAAAACTACTTAGTTACACTATCTCTAGCAATTTAAACTTTTGGAAAAATGGTTATTTAAGAATTTCTTTTTCGTTTTTCTTTTTCTTTTTATTGTTTTTGTTAGTTTAGGAGATGGTATTCATCGGACTACTTGTAAATTTTGTCCTTCTGTTTGCAAACAAGGCTACAAAGTTCTACTTAAATCTTAATCTTCGCTCTGTGTGTGTGTAGTCAATGTTCAATTTCTGCAGCTAAGTGAATTTCTTACGTGATATTGATTTCCTTTTCCCTAATCACAGAGCATGTCGAAGATATTGTGGCACTGCTATTCAAATATATTCAACTCCTGCAACAGTCTGGTGTTTGCAAATGGATATTTGATGAGGTATGCATATGAATCAAGACCTGCTCCAACCAGCATGTGTGCACCAAATGCAAATGTGCAGGTTTGATTATTGTTATTTTAACAGGCACCATACATCAGGAGGTGTATAGATCTATTAGGTGTTTCTGTTATATAATTTCTCTATGTTGGATTAAAGCAGTTCACAAATTGGCCTAGGGAAATAATAATGTAGTTTTAATTGTCTAGTGGAATCTGTTATTTGATTTATCACACACTAGACATAATTCTTCAAGCCTAGTTGTATATTCAGAACTTAGAAGTGAGTGCATTATTCTTTGGGATACTGAATGGGTATGTCCTGGTTGGTTGTACGCATGCCAAACTTCCATTTGCTATCTAGATTTCTTTGTAGTAGCAGAAGTTGATTTCTCTTTTAGATGGTTGATACGTTGAGTAAATTCTGTGGTCAACTGAACTTACTTTTAGTTATCGTGCCTGTTGCAATTTATCCAAACTCAGGTCAGGATGGTTAATTTTGGGTTCAGTGTCAAACTTTAGAATATAGTTGGTGCCACTTCCCTTTCTCGGACTTCTGAAAGGCTACAGAGATTCCACCTAAAAGGAAAAAAGACTAGAGATCTGAGCAACCGTGTCCTTGTGAAGATATTGTCTTAATAACTTGTATTAACCCGAGGCTCTTCCATGCCTGTTGCAATTTTAACTTGGGTAATCTTTCTCGCCACCTAATACGATTGATAGTTCGTAGTATCGGAACCTGAGGCTCTGATAGAGAGTCGCGCAAGGCCCACTCTAGACCTAGAAGGGGGTGATGAATAGGTTTTGTAGAACTGATTAATGATTTTAACTAATTTTTAAATTAAAATAACTTCAATAGAATTAAACTTGGATCATAGTAAACAGTAAAAATCTCAACAATCAATAGCAGTAGTAAGTTAAAGCAGAAATCAGTGGATACCAGATGTGGCCCTAAGTAGCAAAAAATAAAAAAATCTCTGGACCTTGTCCAGGAAACCCAATTCCACTATCGAGAAAGAGATTATAAATTATACCCAGAATCCCCTAGTTACCTCTTGACACAGAAGACTCCAAACTTTTCTCCGAAGAATCACCTGTTTAACTAGTGATCCGGTCTCACCCACTAGTCATCCAGGCTTCAATTGTTTGGATTGAATGGTTGTGTTGAACTCGTTGATCAAGTATGCAACAATAGTCATCAATACAAAAAATTACACTTACCAATTACTAGAATGATGAATGTAAAAGAAAAACAGAATGCACTCTAGAACTCACAAATAACGCTTTCTATTATGTATGAGTTTTCTATATATCTGCCCTTGAATGTATTTGTAGACGGTGAGGTAGTAAAGAGAGAGAGAGTAGGTTTTTGCAGAGTTTACAACCAACTTGGAGACTACTTTTCCGAACAGTTCGAGCGATCAACCTTCAATTGATATCTCGATGGATCGAAAACTTCTGCAAGTTTACAACAACAGCAACCAAGCCTTTTCCCAATTACTTATGATTGACTACATGATTCCTATGTTTCAATTCTCTGAAAACTTCTGCAGGCTTACACTTCAAAAAGTTTCAACAAGGAAGCTTCCAAAAAAATTTCATGCAAGTTTCAAGCACTTTAGAAAATCAAAATAAAATAAAATCATGTAAACTTAGAAACCCTAGATATGCATGCATGAACGCTAGTTTGGTGAATGCATCCATGAGTCAGTTTATGAATACCCCCCTTGAATGCAACATGAATTCCATTCACTAACACTAACTTTTGAAAAACTACTAACCTAAGCTAGAAATTAAAAGAAAAGTTACAGACTCATTTTTTTATTTACAAAATTTGCCAATTCAAGTCCTATTGACCTAACAACAACAAATGGCTTGGACTTGTCAAGTGAGCAATTCTTTTAAGGATTCCCCAAAATAGGAAGGAAAAAGATAAAAGGCAGGTGGGGGTTTCTGTTGTGTTTAATTGTAAGTGTCAGTTTTATAGATTAGAGAGAGAGAGAGAGAGAGGATGGCTGAGAGAGAGAGAGAGAGAGGATGAAAGAGGCGCAGCCCTCACTGTTTCTCATTTTCATATATCTCAAACCCTTACACATAGTACAGCATATATATATACAATACAAGAAAGACCTATTTACATAATGGCCAAAAATCCTATGTCTAATTACAATATGATCCCAACATAAATACCTATTTACATATAACTATTCTAACACTCCCCCTCAAGCCGGAGAATATATATCATTGAAGATGCAAGAAACTCCTTCTATTCTTTCTCTCTCTAGAATTCTTACACCTCAACCCGAAAAAGATCCCTCTCCTCTTCATTCCAACTCCTATTTATAGATACTTACAAGATATTTACAAGATATTTACAAGATATTTACTAATTGCTGGACTTGGGCCTATTCCTCTGTAAGCCCTGGTCACCCATGATGGGCTTACTCCCGCTCGGCCCATATGGCAGTGTCTTTCTATGGGCTGACCCAGCTGTTCGGACTGAAGGTTGTGTTTTGCGAGTCGGACCTGGCCCATGTCATCCGGGGCCTCCTCAACTGCCCCCATAATTGCCCCTTATTTAATAAGGGGTAATTATTGATGGCGTCTCATCATGACGCTGACGGCTCGAGATAACCACGTGGGGGAGCGAACGGTCAGATCCAGAATCAATGTTCCGGGGCTCGAGGGATTTCTTGCCTTCCCGACGCTTCGGCCCTCGGGCCCCCTTTGCCTTTATAATGCTCTAGAATTCCACTTCACTTCCCTTTACCGTCTCCATCATCAGCCAAATCTCCCTCTTTCTAGAACTGTGCTAAGCCTTTTCCGGTGAAATCCTTCGAGAGTCATTCTCCCAGCGATCTTGCAGTCCTCCGAGGTTAGTTTCGTTCTTTTTACTTTCGGCAGGCTTCCATTTTCCCTCTTTTAGATTCTTCTAGCACTTCCACCATGGTTGTAGATCTGGGTGTTCTTCGTATGAGACTTAGACTTCCTGACAACATCGAAGTTAGGGTTTGCCCCCAAGACGTTAATATTACGACCGGCGCCGGCCTCCTGCCCGGCGAAGTCTTATTCACGAACCTTCAACTGAATGTTGTTAGGTTCCCTCTGCACCCTTTCTTTAGTTATGTCTTCAATAGATTGGGGATATCCCCTCTGCAGGTCAACCCCAACTTCTTTAGGATCATATCTGTTATGCTCTTATTGATGCGTGACAGAAATCTGGACCTTGACCTCATAGACCTCCTTCTGTGCTATAAGGTCAGTAAGATCCGTACTAACGAGCCCTTCTACCACCTCTACCCGTTCGAGAAGATGTCCATATGCACTGACACAATAAAATCTGAAAAGGGTTGGAGGGATAGCATAGTGGGCATTAGTGGGGCTTGGTCTTCGCCGGCTGCAGAGGATTACCCAATCCCGAGCGCCTTTGGTGTCTGCTCTGTCTCCTCCTATAAAAAATTCAAATCCCATAAACATGACTGCCCCTGTGAAACATGCGTTCCTCGTTTTTGCACTTACTTATGCCGCTCCTTGGGAATACCTTGTGATGACTTGAGCTATAGTGTTTGCAGGGATAGGAGTAACTACTTGAAGAGGTACGTTCTGAACGATATTCCTTCCTGCTCAGATCTCCTCACTTCAGACAACCTCTTTGCGCTCTCATCACTCGGCTACAATATGAGCAGACTGCAGATTCCCTCTTTTGGCAGGCGGAAAAATACTCCCCCAGCCACTCCTGCTGCTGGGGCGACCTCCTCTCCAGCGTCGGCTTCTTCTTCGGCCACCATATCTGACACTGTCCCGAGCGCAGTGGCTACTAACCCTGTTGCCAGCGCCCCTGCTGCCAACCAGAACGCGCCCTCCCCAGCTACCATAGCTCCTGCTGCTGCGGGGGGCGGTCGGGACAAAGAGCGAGGCAAAAGGCCTCATCCTGACAGTGAAACCGATCCTGAGGAGGAGCCTCTCATTAGAAGGACCCGAGTCTCTGGGCCGGGTACTCTCTTGCACCGAGCGATCAGAGCTCCTTCTCCCTCTGGGCCTCCTGCAGCTGGTGGCTCTGCTTCTGCTTCAGGCCCCCCTTCTATCCCCAGCTTACCGCCATGGGCCCCTCGGTACACCCGAACGGATGGGACGTTCGTGAAACCGAACGAGACCATGCTGAAGGATGGCCAGACCGCTATGGCCTACTACAGGAGCATGTGGACTCCGAAGGACATTGAGGCGGCAAAGGGCCTTTCCCAGAAGGACGTGTTCAGTCGCTTTCCCCAATCTGCTATGGAGGTGACTTTTATTTTCTAACTCATGAATTCTCTTATATTACTTGGTCTTGCCTTCGCCCGTTCTGACTATTGGTTTAACCGCTCTTATTGTGCACCTATGCAGACATTGTTCGGGATGATGGCCATGCAGAAGCAGGTGGAGATGGGGAACGCCAGGGCCCGAAAGTACTCTGACAGCCTGGAAGTGGCTAATAAAGAAAACGACCTCCTTGCCATGAAGAATACCGAGGTGCTGGTTCGGCTTGACAAAGCCGAGCAAGAGAGAGATGTCCTGAAAAAGGAGAATGATTCCCTTCAAGATGAGAAGGACGCCCTCCAGCTTGAGAAGAGCGTCTGGCAGACTGAGCAGGAATCACTCAGAGAAGAGAAGGCAGAACTCCAACGCCTTCTAGCTGATGAACAGTCTGCTCGGATGGCTTTTGAAAAAAGAGCTCTGGACGAGCGTACCGCTCTGATCGACGCTATCAGCAGAGTGGGTGGTGGGATGCTGGCCCTTCACGCTCGGTTCTCCAGGGTCGGTGCTCTTCGGTATGCTCAAGGATTCCGGGAAGGTTTCGCCGACCGGGTTCCGGATGAGGGACAGACCAGCTCCACTCCGGATGAGGTAGACAAGGATCTGGGGATCGAACCTCTGGGGGTCTATGTCGACCCAGAACCCACCGAAGCGGAACGTATATTTGATGAGTGCCAGGACATCGCATCCTCAAGGATCATCACAGCTCC